ATTCTTATTTCGGAAGCTTTAAGTTGAAATAATTGATTAAGATTTGGGTTTTTGAGTAAACGACCTCGGAATTGGGATTCGAAGGTTCCAGCAGGTTCGTATGATGATTTTCAGACTTGGGCGTATGTCCGGACCGAGTCTTGGATGACCCGGGAACGTTTCAGCACCTATTGTGGAAGTTAGCATTTTTGGAAAAATTTCATAAGTTTGGGTTGAAGTGCATTTCAGTGTTATCAATGTCCGTTCGGGATTCCGAGCCTGGGAATAGCTCCGTATAGTGATTCTAGTGTTGGGAGCGCGATCGGAAGTGAATTCGGAGGCCCGTGGGTCATTTTGGAGTCATTTGGCTAAAAGATAGAAATTTGAAGATTTTCGGAGAAGTTTGACCGGGAGTGGACTTTTTGATTTCGGGGTCGGAATCCGATTCCGGAAGTTGGAGTAGGTCCGAAATGTCAAATGTGATGTGTGTGCAAAATTTGAGGTCAATCGGACGTGATTTGATAGGTTTCGACATCAAATGTAGAAGTTTGAAATTCTAAAGTTCATTAAGCTTGGATTGGAGGTCGATTCATGATTTTAGCGTTGTTTCATATGATTTGAGGCCTCGAGCAAGTCCGTAATGTGTTTTGGGACTGGTTGGGGTCCCGGGGACCTCAGGTGGATTCCGTTAACGGATCAAATTTGGAATTTGAAGAAGGATTGAAGCAGTTGGTATCTGGTGTAACCGCACCTGCAAAGTTTTGGCCGCAGGTGCGAAGCCGCAGAGGCGGCTAGGAAGGACGCAGATGCGGTGTTGGGCCAGAAGTGAAGAGACCGCAGATGCGGTCATGTAGCCGCAGAAGCGGGACCGCACCTACGATGGTTGAGGCGCAGAAGCGGAAAGGGCAGCCTGGTGAGAAACCGCAGAAGAAGGTAGTGGGTCGCACCTGCGGAACCGCAGAAGCGAATCAAGTGACCGCAGGTGCGGAAATGCTGGAGGTAGCGTATTCTTTTAAAGTCGGGGATTGGTGATTTTTCCCCCATTTTTCATTTGTTGTGGACGATTTTGGAAAGTTTCAAGAGGGGGTTTTCATCATCAATGACAAGGTAAGTTATCCCCACCTATCTTGAGTTAAATACATTGATTATGTGCGGATAAGCATGAAAATTTGGTAGAAACTTGGATTTGAGGGAAAACCTAGAAAATTGATATTCTTGGATTTTGACCACGATTTTGGGTATGAAATTAAGAGAAAATCATATATTTGAGTTCGTGAGTTCATGGGTAAACTTTATCTTCGAAAAATTTCAAAATCCGGGCACGTGGGTCCGAGGGCAATTTTGTCAACTTTTCGATAAGGGGTTAGGAATTGTTATAAATTGGATTTGTAATGAGTAATCGAGCATATATTAATGGATTTGCATAATTATTGGCTAGTTTTGGAGCATTTAGCATCGATTCGAGTCTTCGGAAGGGTCTCCTTTCTTAACCTTGTAAGAGGGAATTGTCCCCATAGATGAAATAATTGGTTATGTGCTCCTATTTGTGGGGGCTACGTACGCACGAGGTGACGAGAGTCCGTGCGTAGCTACTATTATGTGTAAGTCCGGGTAATCTAGGACCCAAAAACATGCTATACTTGGAATATTTGTAATCTTATTGACAACTGAATTGCTTAAATCCTATCGAATTGGTAAATGAATTTCTAAAAGGATTAAACTTCTTTTTTCTTAAAATCATTAAAAGAGAATTGGCTTTTATTTGGATAAACGTTCCCCGATAAATTCTTAATTGGTAGTTTAAATTTGTATATTTATGTGTGCCCTCGTCGCATGTATGATTCGCGAACGGGGTAATAGATGCATCTATGGTTTGCGTCGTTTGACCCTTGGCAGTGCACATTTTACATTTATATTGGAGTGGGCCGTACGACCTCGGCATGATATGCGCATGTTTATATTGTTTGCCTGAGAATTTTAAATGTTGATACTTGACTTTCCTGGCCAGAGATAAATGGATAAAGATAATGAAAAGTAAATCTTAGGAAACCCTTTTTCTATTGAGAAGTTGTTTACCTGTTTTCCGGCTTTATGAGCTTATTTTGCTTTATGAAATCCCTGATTTCCTCACATTTTTACTATATAATCATTGGACCACTAGTAAGTGTCGAAGTCGACCTCTCGTCTCTACTTCTTCGAGATTAGACGGGATACTCACTGGGTACACGTTTTCGTACTCATACACTTGATGTGCATTTTTGTTGCATAGGTTCATGTGTGGCTAGTGGCTTAGTGGCATAGCGACGTGGTTGATACAAAGACTTAGGTGAGCTGCATCTGTCGAGACGGCCCGCAGCCAGCAGAGTCCCATTCAGAGTATTGTACTATATTTTCATTTCTGTCCACTTTGTATTCCGGACAGTTACTGTATTTTATTTCCTTCTTAGTAAATGCTCATGCGTTCTATAGAGCGGTGATTAGACCAACCATGCTGTATGGGGCGGAATATTGGCCAGTCAAGAATTCTCATATCCAGAAGATGAAAGTAGCCGAAATGAGGATGTTGAGATGGATGTGAGGACACACTATGCTGGATAAGATTAGGAATGAAGATATTCGGGAGAAGGTGGGCGTGGCTCCCATGGAGGACAAGATGCGGGAAGCGAGACTTAGATGATTCGGGCATGTGCGGAGGAGGAGCCCAGATGCTCCGATTAGGAGGTGTGAATTGTTGGCTTTGACAGATACAAGGAGAGGTAGAGGACGACCTAAGAATTATTGGGGCGAGGTGATAAGGCAAGACATGGTGCAACTTCAGATTTCCGAGGACATGGCCCTAGATAGGGAGGTGTGGAGGTCGAGCATTAGGGCTGTAGGTTAGGGGTGGTTGAGCGTTTTTCTTCGTTGTTCTGGCTAGTCTGATAGTGTTTTCTATAGGACTGCTAGCAGTTATTGTTCCATCACACTTTCTATTTTTTTGTTTATTATTATTATTAATTTTTTTTACTTTTATTTTATATTTTTTTCCAATTTTTATTATTGCCATAGTTATTGTCCTTCCCACTTATTTGTTGTCACTTACGGTGCTGATCTTATTTGTATGTTTTCTGCTGTTGTTACAAATCTGTCGTTTTTGAGCCGAGGGTCTCTCGGAAATAACCTCTCTACCCTCATGGGTAGGGGTAAGGTCTGCGCACACTCTACCCTCCCCAGACCCTACTAGTGGGATTATTACTGGGTTGTTGTTGTTGTAAATACTCATGCACTTGTGACACCGGGTTCTGGGATGATTATTGGGTATCTTGTATTTACTTCCAAACATTTTTTTATTTACATTGTAAAGATTGTCTTTTACTAGTAAAATTGAAGGAAAATCATAGTTTTCAAAATTATTAAAACGGGAACTTAATCAAGTATTTTGGTTGGCTTGCCTGACAGCAGTGTCCGGCGCCATCACGACCCTTAGTGGATTTTGGGTCGTGAGACCAAGGACCGGCACCAAACAAATGTTGTATTGTTTCCCGTTCACCAGTGAACGCAGGTGGAGTCTTCACATGCAATTCCATCTTAATCATTCTCTACTTAGTAAGCATTTTCCTCTGTCCAGCTAACCAAAACATAAAACTATGCTTTGACATCAATACTCTATTCCATATCAACTCTGATCCTACCATGATAGGTCGTACACCCAGCAGAGCCAAGTAGCTAAGTGAGAAAGAGTATTGTCCATTGCCAGTCAAAGAATATGTTCCATTTGTGTACCAATGTACCATCCCTCGCTAAACTTTATGTAACTTTTTCCAATACCAACTACATTCAGCTGGTGGAGTGTGCTCCCAGACATCAGAGTTATTTCTCATATAAACCCCATGTACCCACTTAACCCATAACATATCTTTTTTCCTAACCAACAACCATAATAGTTTCCCTATTGATGCCAGATTCCACAACCTGCAGTTTTTCACATTCAGTCCACCATATTTCCTAGGTAAACACACTTGTTCCCATGCCACTAGGGAGACTTTCTTCTTCTCATCTGTGCTAACCCACAAGTACTCTCTACATTGCTTATCCACCTGCTTGAATATACTCTGTGGTAAAATAAACACTGATCCCCAAGAGTTGTGCAGGGAAAACAGTACTGAATTGATAATTTGCAACTGACCAGCATAGGAGAGATGTCTAACAGAGGTAGATTTGATTTTGGCAGTGATTTTGTCAATTAATTGCAAGTAGTCCAGTTCTTGCAATCAGTCTGTCCCTAATTGCAATCAGTCGAGGACAGACTGACAGGTTGCAAGAACTGGCTTTTCTCTGGAGAGAGTGGGAAAAACCAGTTCATTTGTTTGGAGAGAGGGATAGACTCATTGTAAATTTGATAGTGAAATGCTGAAGTGCCTCCATGACTCTGTTAATAGAAGATTCATTGCCCTTGCAGAAGATCATTAGATCATCTGAGATCAGATGTGTCAGCCCCAAACTTTTGCACATAGGATGGAATATAAAATCTGGAAGCTGGGACATTTTGCTCATCACGCTTGAAAAGTACTCCATAACCATGACAAATAGTAGAGGAGACAATGGATCCCCTTGCCTCAATCCCCTTCTTCCTTCAAAATATCTGTAACCCTCCCCATTCACCTTCACTGAGAACTTTGTAGAAGTCACACAGTTCATGACTTATGTCACAAATCTTCTAGGAAACCCGAAGCCTTGTAGCATTCCTTCAATAAATTCCCATCTAACCATATCATATGCCTTACGGAGGTCAATTTTCATCATACACCTGGGTGAAGTTTTCCTCTTATAATGCCTTAGCAAGTCGTGGCATATTAATACATTCTGAATCATTGACCTTCCTTGAACAAAAGGAGATTGTGTGTCAGTCACCACCAATGGTAGAACAGCCTATAACCTTTTGCATAGCATCTTAGAAAAACACTTGTAAACCACATTGCAACATGAGATAGGCCTGAATTGGCTGGCCTCCAATAGTCTATCAACTTTGGGAATCAGTGCTATCATGTTGCACTAATCTGTTTCAGGAGCTTCCCATTTTGGAAAAACTCCAAAACTGCTTCCGTGACTTCATTACCAACAATGGCCCATGCATCTCTAAAAAAACCACCACCATACCCATCCGAACCTGGACTTTTGTTGATGCAAATGCTGAACATAGCCTCTTTAACTTCCCTCTCAGTGAAAGTTTTAATTAGATTCAACTGTTGTACTGCTTCTAGAGTAGGGCCATTTTTCAGGAATCCTGTATATGCATGTCTCCTTGATCCTCCCACCTCCCCTAGCAAGTTCCGATAAAATTTAACAAAGACCCCTGCTATCACAATAGGATCTATTTGGGTGACCCCATGTTCATCTTGTATTTGGGTAACAGACTGCTGCAGCTTCCTTTTTTTGATCACTGAATGAAAATACTTGGTGTTGTCATCACCAAGTCTAATCCAAGTAGCTTTACTCTTCTGTATAAGAGGCTTTTCTGCTAGAATAGAAGCTTTCTTATACCTCAAATATGATGTTTTCTCTTGTGCCTGAAGACTCTGATCCTGTGGATGCAGTTGCAGTTTGGCCTGTATATCAAGTAATGTGGTCCTTGCCACTTGGACATTTTTAAGGATGTTGCTAAAATGCTACTTATTTAACTGTTTCAGCTTCTGCTTGAGTGCTTTTAATTTCTTAACCACCTTAAACATTGTACATTCCTGAACCTGTTCATTCCAACTCTCTCTAACAATCTCCAAGAACAGTGGATGTGTGCTCCAAACATTACAATATTTGAAAGTTTTCCTTGCAGGCTGATCTTGCATGATTGAGATTCTAATTGGACAGTGATCACTCACACCCACCGGTAAGATGTTGACTATGCACGCTGGTATTACATCTACCCAATCTCCATTTATAAATACCCAATCTATCTTAGAGAAGACCCTGTCTACCTCTTTTCTATCATTCCAGGTGTACTGACCACCAGTGCTAGGCGACTCTTATAACCCACAGTTGTCTGTACAATTTGTAAAATCCACCACTTCTGCATACATTACTGGATTACTATCCTCTATATGGAGGACAACATTAAAATCACCTAACACCATCCAAGGAATATTACTACCTCTGCCAACAGAACAAAGATAATCCCATAGTTCCTTCCTATCTACTTTGAGATTATAAGCATACACAAATGTTATCATAAAAGTCAACTATAATGGAACAAATGTGGCTTGGCAAGTGATAGCCTCAGCTATACTTCCTTTGACAATCACATTATAAAGGTCTGGTCGCCACACCACCCAAACTCTGCCATTATAATGGAACTCATGATTGGTAGTAAATTGCCATCTTCAAACATTGTTCTTGCTAGCTCTGGTACTCTATTAATCTTTATTTTAGTCTCTAAAAGACCTATCAAACCTACATTATTCTCATTGCAGAGGAGTTTCACCTCTTTCTGCTTATTGAGCCCATTCAGGCCCCTCACATTCCCACTTAATATATTTTAACCATTTCCAGTAATTGGAAATAGTTTATCACCTCTTCCAACCTCCACCAATTTCTGCGCCCCTGAAGTTGAGGTACCCTCTTTGCCCAATGCTTGAAATGAGTTGGCCACTACCATTGCTTCCTTTTCTGCTCTAGGTGACTTCCCAATCTTAGATGGTTGAACCCACCCGCCATCTTTCTTAGCACCATCCACCTGTACCCTGAATTCTTCCCCTTGTGTCTTGTGCTGTGCAATCCTTGATTCAAACTTGTTGGTGTCCTTATTTCTTCCTGTTCTATTAGTCTCTGTTGTCTTCTCTGTCGCTGCTTCCAATTATAAACAACCTTCTGATCTATCACAACTCCTTTCTCGTTTCTAAAGTATATCTCCTCAGGTAACTGAGCCCCAATCTTCACTTCTGCTAATAATCTGGCAAAGTTAAGCCCCACTTTCTTCTCTGTATTCCTATCAACCATCAATGGTTTCCCAACCACGCTTCCTATTTTGCTCAGGCCTCTAGCCCTCCAATATTTGAAGTCTAGTCCAGGCAACGTGATCCATATAGGAACTGAGTGAAGTTCCTCCCTTGAAAACTCCATATCCTGATTCCACTCCTTAACTATGAACGGTTTGTTGTCGAAGTGGTAAATACCCCTTGTAAGACTTCATTCTTACCTGCCTCATTGTCAAAACAAACCAGAACAATACCATTTTTCATCATGGCTATTTTATTGATACCAATTTTACCCCACGGCCTTTGAATGAACCCATTCAGTACTGAAAATGGAGGGTAAGCACCTAAAACATAACATACTACGACATTCTTCCAATATTCAATCTCAGAGTTATCCTGAATAATTTCCCCAATCTGATGTTCCCCAGAGTGAATTGGGTCTACATATTCCAATTTAAAACCACCATTTGAGATTTTTGATATATCAAAATTGTGCCAAATGGAAGCCCTCGATTGAGTAATCTTACCTGTTACCTCATCCTGTAATTCAACTTCATCCGCCTAGGATTATTTCCTACTACTACTCGACGAGTGGATAAAATCTAACCATTCCCCCAATTTGTCCTTCGCATGTGTCACAGTTTCAATTTGCATGTTAGGTTTCTGCACAATTTCCGGAGATGCTTCTCTGGAGATGCTAATTCCTTCATTAATTATCTCTGTAAACTGCTCCGCTTTGCCACATCCTCTGATAGTAGTCTTCGCCGCATATTTTTGTGTTAGTATCGCCGCCTGGGACTGAGCTGACAGTCGTCCTCTCCTACCTCCCATGGTTGGCGCACGTTCTAACTTGCACCGGGAGAGAGAAACCATCGAGCTCAAGTCCGTCTAAGTTGTGTTAGACAGAATTATAAAGGTAAATTTGATAGTCCAAACTAGTGATAGAAAAGAACCATCATTCAGAACTGCAGAAACAACAGTAGATCAATCTAATTCATTTGGAAATTTTATGCATATGAATATTAAGCATCAGCATCAATTGACCACTACCTCAGCATGGAGTCCTTTCTTTCTGCAAAGAGCTTTAAGTGCAAATTTGCACTTAATTCCTTGCTGCTTAAACCACTCTACAATTGCTGGAGTTGAGTGTACAAGAATGTCAGGCTCAGCATCCTGGAAGTCATGCAAATTTACTGCTAACTGCACCAAAGAAGAAGGATGAGCATTGAACATGATATTGTAGCTTACTGAGGTGCTTAAATACTTTAAAGAACATACTCTTCTCATTTCTGCCCACATAGTATACTTCTACCATTTTTTAGTTCTTTCCAGGAAATCCTAAAAATAGACAACCCATACATGCTCCACTCTATAAACAAGATTCACACGTGACAAAAGAGAGTCTGAGTATATAGTTATGCCCCTTCAATTTGTCAAGATTTCCCCCTTAGACACCTTAACTACACGGGTACCCATTAAACCCTAACTACTCTGTATATGATCACTTTAAAAAGGATTGTGCAGAATACGCACCAAATACCTGTGTGACACGTTTCATAAACTAAAAGGAGAGAAAAATATAACACTTAAAAGAACACAACTAAACCTGGGGATCTGATATTAGTTGGCTGGAGTTCAATTAGAAGTGACACCTTACTCCCCAGCCAAACTTTCGGCCTTTTTCCACCCTCATTTATTTTTCCCTTAGAGATCTCAGTTCCTCCGAATCCTTGCAAACACCTTTCTTCACAGTGTTGGATCTGTAATAAACCAAGAGATGTGAAGTAGATGACCGGAATCTGAACTTGTGTTTTTTATGGGTTCTTTTTTCAGTAATAAAACAAATTTATGAAGAAATGCCTTGTCGGAAGGATCATCCTCTTTGAACAAACAAACATGGTTTTCCATTGAATTTCCTGTCACCCTTCATCTCACCCCCAAAGAAAAAAACTCTGGAAATGTGGCGGTGAAATGAGACCTGCCCGACTTTTTAACTTCTCACACGCTTTAAATTTTTGGCTTAGGACACCCAAGCGACACGGCGATTTAAGGGTCTCAGACTCACGTTTTACATTTTTGAGTGTGCCAAAAGTGACTCACAAAGTTAAGATGTGTAAGAGAATTTTTTTGCAAGTAGAGGAAGAAAAGTGCGTACCAGCCCAAAGAGAACTAAGCATAGTACAAGGAGGTCTAAATTTACTAAGCTGATTAATTGCAGATACATGAATCACCTTTTTGCTGACACTAACTGACATGGACAATTTGTAGTTTCTACACTGCTAAATTCAACCTAAAGTTCAAACTGCTAGTTTCCAAGTCGAACCATACCCCGAGCAGCAATCCTACATATGAGTTGCAAAATATCTGTTTTGTCTTCTACAAAATAAACAAAATTTGCATGCATAATAGAAGGAACAAGAATACAGTGCCAATGCAGCTTATCTTGATTGTATTATAATTCTCTAACCTCCACAGTTCACAAGCATTAGATAGTTTTGTAAAATCTTGGCTTTTGCNATATATATATATATATATACCTATACATGTGATAACGTTATTTCATTTCAAAATTGTTACAAACATAAGATGAGTGAGAAGTATACATGCCTGAGCACCATATACAGAAAATAACTCGATCTTGAGGATTTCCAATCTGTAAATAGTCGATAAACTGCAGCTCTTGTCATAGCTTGAACCGAAGCTCAAAGTTTCTCCATCTGGAAGTTTAATGATTTGAATTAATACAGATAAAATCAAATAAACAATGAAAAGCTTCTACTCGAAAAGGCAAAAACATCTGTGGCTAGAGCTCTTTCACTGCCATACACTGATCTGAGGTATAGAGTAAGAGATCATTTCTAAACTATAATGAAACTGTCGCTAAACAGAACATCCACACAACAAATGGCGCAAACCGATAAAATTTTCAGCAGGAGAAATAAAAAATGGAAGTGAGGAAAGCAACCACTCAGTTGCAGTTATTAAAGATTATTGATGAAAACCCACACCGACTGCCTCAGCAGGAAATATATTGTTGTAAACCAAAGAAGATATAAAATAAAATAAAACAAAACACTCGGGATAAGAAAAATGCATTTAGCTCACATAAGTGTAAATCCAAATTCCAGAGTCTATTGACCTGAAGAATGACCTCCTAATATCTCAACTTCCTAAAAGATGGTTTATATTAGAAGTGATCACTCAGCAACACCAAACACCATTATCAGTCTGAAGATATAGAGCCCGTTTGGATTAGCTTATTTGAAGTAGCTGATAAGCATTAGGTGCTGAAAAGCACTTTAAGTGCTGAAACTGATTTAATAAATAAGCAGTTACGTGTTTGGGTACAAGTGCTGAAATTGATAATAAGTTGCTGCAGTATTTGATAAAAAGTGTTGATAAGCTCTTTTTCGGTTAAATTGACTTAAATAACCTTAGAACTGTTTACACTTATAAGGATATAATTTCTTCAAAATTTTAGATTCCAGATCGATTCAAATACAAAATATTCTATTTGTCATTTTATTTTAAATACAACTGTGCTTAGATAAGATAATTTTTATGATAAATATAATTTATTTTATGATAAGCATATAATCATAAGTTATATAATAATTAACAAATTGATAAAAGTTTCTCAGTAAAAAATAAATCTAAATAGGACAAATTATTTGAAAAGAAACAAATATTGTCTTCATCACCACAACACTTAGAAAGCAATACACCAAAAATTTGATATGTCCTCATTTTTTACATACAGTTCAAAGATTAATACACACTCACATAGATATAAGTATGCAAAGGAATTGAGAATTTGCTTATCTTAAATAGTCAATGAAAATTGCAGACTTGAAGAGGGGGGGAGGGAGGGGGGTTAGGTTGAATACTTGAGGCAGTAAGTATCGATGTAGGAGTTTTGTTCTAAAACGAAATATTTCAAGGATAAAAATAGAAAAATCTTGGTCAAACTTAAAGTGCTTATAAGCTAAAAATTCATAAGCTGGGGGTGACTAGCTTATGGCTTTTGGCTTATTTTTGACTTATAAGCACTTGGCTTATAAGAGGGTGTTTGGCTAAGCTTATAAGCTTGTCAAACTGGCTTATAAGCACTTTTTGGCTTATCTACGCGTTTGGTAAAATTAAAAGTGTTTATAAGCCAAAAATAAGCCAAAACCATAAGTTGGCCTCCCCCAACTTATCAAATTTCAGCTTATAAGCACTTTAAGTTTGACCAAAATATTTACTATTCTATCCCTAAAATACTTCTTTTTTAAAACAAAACTCTTCGCATACCCAGTTCTTCAGCTGCATATTATTAATTTCAGCACTTTTATCCAAACACATAACTGCTTATTTTTTAAATCAGTTTCAGCACTTAAAAGTGTTTTTCAACACCTAATGCTTATCAGCTACTCTAAATCAGCTAAGCCAAACGGGTTCTAAGTACTTTTAACTTTACCAAACGAGTAGATAAGCCGAAAAGTGTTTATAAGCTAGTTTGACCAGCTTATAAGCTTAGCCAAACACCCTCATATACATACGTAATGTTTACGAGTAATCATCCAACTTTACCAAACGAGTAGATAAGCCGAAAAGTGTTTATAAGCTAGTTTGACCAGCTTATAAGCTTAGCCAAACACTCTCATATACATACGTAATGTTTACGAGTAATCATCCCTTAAATTAAGGTATCAACAGAAGAAACTCTTTTACTTATCAAGACAACAGATTATCACACCAAAACTACTTAGAACAACATTTTCTAGCCTTGAATATGAAAATTTCCTGCATCCTCTTGGTGTGAAATGAAACAATTGTTTAACTTTACCTTTCCAATCCGAGATGTAGCCGTCCCCAACTTCATCATCACTGAAGAGCCTTCGAACATAAAATTCTTCTTCCAGAAAGGCAGGCTTGAGGTGTCCCCAAATTGAAATGCCATTTGATGGATGATCCATCATCTTAGCATGTTCCATTTCAACAGCCTAAGAAATACACAAATTAGTTTACATTTTGAGCAGAATCAAATTGGACAATGTCTATTAAGAAAAATAAAATTTAGCAACAGAACAAGATACACATAGCGTATCATTTGAGCATGTTCCATATTAACACCTGATAATGCACATTTTATTAAAGAACCTTAAGTTTAATGTACCATTGTATGATCCAAGTTGGACAAAGGTTTATTTCTGAAAAGTCATACCTGGCACAGCATCTCATGTTGTTATGGACTCATTTGTGGGACGTGTCTATGCTAGGCGCAATAAGTGAATCAGTATTTCAATAGGCTTAGATCTCTTCTTTTAGTTGTTAGTTATTTTCTGTTTAATTATTTCTAGAATAGGTTTATCTACGTATTTCTGTGTTTAAGAAGCCTAAATTATAGGTTTCCTACTATTGTAATAAGTCTAGTCCTATTTAACAGAAACAGAAGGAATAAAACAGGAAGCCATCTTTTATCAGAAAACTACAGAGGATTGGAGTTCTCCCTAACGAGCTCTAAGGTTTCAAACTCCCTTCGACGAGTTTGATTGTTTATTCACAACAGGTAGATCAAGGAATCGAAATAGGGAAAAGGGGAATCGCCCTGTGACACGATCTATATCGCGGGACCTTAACACATGTATTGATGAGAAAGGTCATCATCCAAAGAGAGAGACAATAATAAGATAATTTAACCGAAGTTGTACCTGGAACTATAGGGCAGTATGCTAGAAGAATTTTATTATTTTTCCCTTGCATTTTACTTGGTTGGCACTTTTCTTTTACGATAACCGAGGTGTCCAGGCCACCTTGCGTGCACCTCAACTAATTTCACGGGATACCCACTACCTCCCACTAGCAACAGGTACCAGATACCATGCAACTCTGTCCACTTACGATTGGACACGGAAAAATATCACCTAGTGTTTTTTCCTCTGCTGGGATCTGAACCTGAGATTGGTTCTCACCCACTTCATTGACCACTAGGTCACACCCTTGGGTGCTACTTGGTTGGACTTTTGCACCTCAATGTCTTATTATTTGGTAATTTTCACCCTAACCTTGTAAGTCAGATAGCAAATTACCCAAATACCCTACTCTCTTTCCATTTATCACTTGCAGTAGGAAAACACACATTTCTTATGACCTAATTTCTTTCTTCGGGTTTTCTCTTTTTTCTTTTTGATCCTTTTCTTTTTTCTCTTCCTTTATTCCCTCTTTTTCTTTTGCTGGGCTAAGAATGGTGTTATTCAAAAAATAAGTGTGCAATTGATGAATGAGTGATGAAACAATATAATAAGAGAAACGTGTCAGACACAAGTGTACAGTACAACAACAACAACACACTCAGTCTGTTCCCACTAGTGGAAAAACGCAAGTGTGCAGTATCTATGATTAATTGTTACCCCAGGTGATCATAAGGAGCATAGACTAACTATTTTTTTAATATTTAAGAGTCTTTAGGACAGCCATTAGACCATCCCAGCACACCACTGACAAGCTCTGGTCTAAAATGCCATGTTTCATCCACTAGACTTGGTTTTCAAGCCTCTAGAACAGATTCTGTCCAAGTAAGGTCGTAAAGAGCATTAGTTTATTCCCACAGCCAAAGAGGCCTCACTCAACTTACAAGATTAAGGACCCAAGAAATCGCCAAACCTCTTCGCAACAAGGATAGTTAATTCTTCCTCTTGTGAATATTATCTTAATATTTCTATTCATCAAATAGGTATTGAGAGCTTTACTTGTGAAGGTTATCTTAATATTTCTATTCGACATATAGTTATTGAGAGCTTTACTTTGAGATAAGTCCAGAAAAATCAATGAAATCTTGTCTTATTATACTTGAATAAAGCGAACCCAACTAGTTTCGATTGAAACATAATTATTAAATGGTGATGTCGTCTGCATTTTTCTTATGTATATGCTCCTTGAATTACTTCTTGCAACAGTTCGTATAAGAAGAGGAAAAAACTAGGAGCAGAGTTGCTAAAAGAAATGATAACCACCTTAGTCAAGCACTTTGCAAAATACACTGGGTGCAACTTGCTATAACTATCTGGCATTGCCCAATCAACTTGAAAGTCAGACATCTCAGAATTTTCAACCTGGCCCAAAAAAAAAAAAAGAGGATACATGTAAGCATTAGAATAAACTAAGACTAGTTGCCCGACTTATATAGTGAATTTGCAGCAGTTGCCTACTCACCTCTAAGTAATTGTCCAAGAAGTAAGTATCGTCAATAGAATCACCTATGAAATTGCTGTAGTCAAAAGATTCTGCCCTCCTCTTCTCATATTGGGAGAAATCCATTCCAATCAATGCATTCTGAAGTAATCCGGTCAAATCGAGGTAGTAGAAATTTCAGCACCGAGAAACAATGCATTCTGAAGTAATTCAGTCAAATGGAGATAGTAGAAATTTTAGCACTGACCTACAGGCGTACGACTCAGATATTTCACGACTAATCTACGGTCTTACCAACTCAAATTTCAACATAACTACATTCTTAAACAAATGGTTATCAACCTCAAGACAAGTCTATGTCAATGTCAAAAACGAGACACTAGTCAGTCCATATAAAGCCAGAGGAAGAACTTCCATTAAAAGATTCCACACGAGGAAATAAAATTTAAAGGGAAAAAAACATATTGAAGTCATTAACTATGACGGTGTGAGCGTTGCATTCCTACGCCGTCCCTAATCTAGATAAAAGAGACAAATTTTAGTAGGTTGACGGCTACCGGAAAATTACTCAAATGGATCAGATCCCTACAGAAAGTACAAGTACAAAGAGGATAAAAATGCAAGGTCACTTGCGATAGTTTGGTCATGCTTTATATGGACTTCCAACTGCACCACTTTGCGGGTTTGACACTATAATGATTAAAGGAGTTAAAATTTTGTGGTACCCCAACTGTTTTACCGCATGTTGCATATGTTAAAGTTACGTGTATTCATGTGCGCATAAAATAAAATTACAGGTTATAACAGTATTTGTGTATGCCGTTGGATGTTAAATGATTTTTTCCTTTGATCAAGTGAGAAATGATGTTAAATGATGTTTTGAACCTGTTAAAAATAACTCAGATTCGTTTCGAGTTGATCGGAAAGAGAACACTTAAATATCACTGATGCAACATATGTTATATCATCACTATTTCTTTTCAAATGACTTGTCCAAACAGTAAGTTACAGATTATGTTTCCTTATTTATGAAATACAGATTCAGTTGTGGAGATTGACACCGTGCCAAAGACAGAGTGATTGACATTGACAGACTGATGTCTTTGGTGAACCCTGCAATTTGTTCAATGTGGGCCATTATTATATTTTTATGGTATCATGAGAAGGTCACGAGTTCAAGCCGTGGAAACAGCTTTTTGCATAAATGCAGGGTAAGGCTACGTACAATAGACCCTTATGGTCCGGTCCTTCCCCGGATCCTGCACATAGCGGGAGCTTAGTGCACCGGGTTGCCCTTTTTAGAGATGCTCCATTAGTTACACTTGAGGTATGAAACTCAGTTATGTAAAGCGTCTAGTAATACTTTAGTATGTTAAAATCCTTGACTTAGATCTGCACAAACACGCGGTGATATGTTGACAGTTTCTTTATGATATGACATGGGATGTATGAAGGCTATTTGTGAGGTTCAGTGTTATCAAAGACGCGTTTAAAGCGTGCTTAAGGCTCTGACGCGAGACTCAAAAAATGTAGAGCGCTTCGCCTCGGCCTCGCTTAGCGGACGCTTCAGTGTTGTCATCAAAGCTCTAAGGTATATTTCAGTATTGTTATCAAGGCTAGAGGCAATTGATATCTCACTTTATCGTAAATTTTCTTCAATTTTTTGTCCATATATTTGGTATTCATGCTTATAGGTACTAGTCTTGGTCTCTACACATACATATTTGTAATTTTTTCTCCATTTGTGCATTTCTTCATTAAAGCCTACATTTTATTTCCGCTTTGCGCTTAAAGCTCCAACAAACCTTAGAGTTTTTTTGCGTTTTTCGCCTTTGATAATGTTGGTGAGGTTGATGGTTCGGGATGTGGATGGGTTTCCAAAATCAAGGAAGAATAAGGGGAAACTCTGAAAAAATTTCCGTAGACTACAAGTAGGCATGCTAGAGGGTCAACTTCGTGTGTCTCAGTCATGATCCGAGTTTGGCCATGATAGAAGGGAACGAGATGGTCCAAAAATTACATTGAGAAAACTTATCTAAAAAATCTATAATCTTGGAATACATGAGGACTTAATAAAGAACTGAACACAATAAAAGCAAAAGATACATATAATGATATCAACTATGTTAGACTAAGGCTTAATCATGTTTGTAGACCTACAATAGCTTCGGTCTTTACCAGGAGTCCTTTTAAGTATGTTTTAGAGGTTTATATGTGATGTACTTTTGAGGTTTTGCACCTCTCAAGCAGAAAGAAGAGAGAAAAACAAAAGCACCCCGCTAAAGTTTTTCACAGAACTAGCGAAAGCGTTCTTCAAACTCACCTGAGAAGAATGTAAGATGAAAAGAATCTTACCCACTTGTTCGTCAATCCCGCAAGATTGCAAAAAGTGTTGAATAAAGGATTCAAATAGCCTTCTTTATCTTGCATCAGTATGTCATTGGAGAACCCCTAATTTTTCTACTGAGACAAATTAGGCATATTGGAGTGGATATAAAGGATTCAAATAGCCAACCTCAACTAGTTTAGGATTGATGCATAGTTATTGTATTGTTCTTATTATTGTTATTGAAGCCATTCTAACATTCAATTCATCAGACTCCACGGGAAAAGAATTTAGATGAAGCCATGAAAGTTTCTAGAGGCATCTATAGTTAATGTTCCATACAACTACTTGGGACGAGCTACAAAAGCAGGTTGGATATTGGGATGACAGCATGATTTAACCTTAAACCAAAGCATTAATTATATGACATGCATGATCCTTCAAAAAAGAGCATGCTTATTAAGATACAGATAACAATGTCTGACGAGAAGAGAAATATCCAAATATGTAGAAATCTGTACCACAGGATTACTTGCATCACGATCTTGCAAGATATTCTTGTCATCATAAATTTCAAAGAATATGTCTGAACACATGAAGGCAAACCATCAACTATGAATATTAAGGGCAAGGATCAAATTACAACATTGCGAGGAACACCACAAAAGAAACAGCCAAACCTCCATATTCATCAATCACGTACTGAAATTCTGCCCATGACTCTCGTTCATGAGGTTCACAATGAACCATGCCAGGGAATATCAACAAAGCATTGCTATTAGCCTGCAATTAGAAATAACAGACACACCATCTGAGCTGTCCAAATGATATATGCTAGCACTTCTACCATGATAACGTTCTCCGCTTGCATGTAGAATGGATATAAGATCTAATTTATACAAAATAAGGAAACCTCAACAGTTGTCCTTGCTGTTTCAGCAGCTGTGAGTTCAGTATCACGAACTCTTCTGTGGTCTCGTATTCCTTCAAGAGGGTGATAGCCATGATTCCCGACATAGTTAGAGGAATCAGGAACAGAATCTGGGTAGTCTGCTGCAACTGAAATTCTTGAAAGGCTAATCTCATGTCCTACAGGCAGCCAATGCAATTGTGTAGCTCCGAGGAAAGGATTCTCAGGCCTGAAACTACATAGGAGCACATGTATCAGTTGAAAATTTAAGGACACAAAATTTAATCAGAAAAAATCAAACTTTGGTAGAATCAGAATCGCAAAAGTAAACAAATTGCATGACAAGTCCATAAGCACTCAACTAGAGTCTCCAAAATGATACACCGAAAACTTAATCTCTTTCAAGGAGTACATAACTAACAACCTTGTAACTGAAAAGTCTCAAGTACATAACTAATATGTTGTCTGAACCTGACCAGACTGTTCCTTCTCAACTTATTTCGCCTTGATGGTTTGTAGAATCAAATAATACCAAATTTAGTGAGGAGATAAAAGATTCTAAGTCCATTCCTACTGTTCATTTTAGTGTTGTTAACGGAAAGCTTGGGGAGCTGTTAAGCCCTGAAACTCAGTGTAATGGAAGATGAGCGCTTTGCCTCACTGAAGGTCGACACTTTAGTATAGGTACCCTCACCTCTGTATTGAAGATAGCAGCACTATACAAACCATAGCTGATAAATCACTATGTTAATGGTTAAGACTTAAGAAGACGTTATAGATTAGTACATTAGTGATTATGAAAAGAAAATAAGGATATTGAGGATTGGATTTGAATAAATCAGAAATATTAATCAAGTTAAGTACCGTTCTATTCATGGGCTAAAGACTCTCAAGCTTTTTCTTTTTTTAATCAGGAGAATTCTCAAGTTATATACCTTATACCTGAATGGTCAGAGAATCCCTGAACCTCATGTGATGGTTTGATCCAACTGCTTGTAACTCCAACTGATGCTGAGCAACCAACTCCATCAGCATGACATTTGAAGCAATGTGAAGGACCTACAAAAGTAGCCAATATCTTTAGAGAAGAAGTCAAGCTAAGGATCACATAAAACACAAAAAGAAAATGATAATACCTAAGAAAGACACATCTTCTCATTCAGATGATGAGAAAAGAGTAATTAGGCTTTCATCTAAATTTTATTTCGGTAATCAAATCAAAATTAATTTCTTTTGAGTGTTAACTTAGGCTCAATCACTCCAAACAATTTGAATAGAGCTCTGAATCCATTTCCACAACTCAATAAATATTTTTTTATAAGCATAAACAACTCAAAGTTCTTGATATCATCAAAGCTCTTCCATTTTTTACTTTCAAAAGTTCCAGAAGAGACACAACGGTGCCACCTCCCATACCTTTTGCCACCCTTACCAAGCAAGAATGTTAAAACTCCCAGAGCGCATTTGAAAGCCGATCGTATTCAGACATTAAACACCAAATAAAGATATTAATAATATGGTAAAATGAAGTTTTTGGTATTCAATCACCCATAACACTTTAAACAACAACTAACAGTGACTGCGCTTCTCTTTCTCGGTTTCAGGCAATAAAAATGACATACAAATCATTCATTTGCAGATCAATGCAACTGATGGAAGAAGCACAATGTTTATGTTTGGTTATCCCAAATCCTTCTTAGCCCTGTTGTTTTCCAAAGCAGATCAAATTACTTGACATTATAATGACAATACAGCCAGAAAACCTGCAACTGAAGCAACCAGACTGCAGTAACAGCTCAAGAAAAAACAAAAATACTCATTAAACAGCAAACCAGTAGGTTGTCCCACACTGACTGATGTGTGACCATAGGAAAATAGAATTAAAAGCAACATTTTGACACCATAATAAATGCCACTAAAGCAGTATAGTTAAGACATACAACTACCATTACAGTAGAAGTTATTGCCAAAAAATAATACCTCCATGTTACAAGAAACTACTCATCACATACTGCTGCAGCATACAAGAGAAAATAAACCAAAAAAAAAAATCAAAATTAATTCATAATGGGTGCTAATTTTTTATTTTAAAAAAAAGAACTCGAGAATAAATGTCAGCCCAACAAATTTTGAAGTGAACAGACAGAAATAGATTCTCTCTTCTAACTGACACAAAAAAGACAAGACTTTTGGGTCTCTTTCAGATCAAAAGCTACTGTAATTGAAACAGTAAGAAGAGAAAAAATATTTAAGGACTTACTGATGGAGATTGATGAAGAAGGCGCGGAGATGAACATGAAGAAAAAGACAGTCAAAGAAGAAGAGTAAGGAAGTCTGTAATTAAAGTGCAGTAGAGACGCAAAAACGTTAATAGTATCGAAGATTTTTGGTTGCTCTGACCCCAAACTAGAGCGAGTCTCAGTGGAAGTCTGATGAGTGGGTCAGTGGCGTTGGACACAGGTGGCGTTTTCCATAGGTTGGTTCGGAGGCTGGTCATGTGCGGCTAATATATACGCGTGACTTGTGTGTGCTTTGTTGTTTTGACGGCTCACTTGTTGCTTCACTTGTTTAGAACGTCATTTAGCTACCGTCTGGATATATATTTGGTTTTTGAAGGTGTATAAAAAATATTTTTTTAGAAATTAATATTGTGTTTGAACATGTATTTTATTTGAAAAAAAAATAAAAAAAAATTCATAGGAGAAAATTTTCACCCAAAAATTGTCATATACTATTTTTTAGAACTTAAATTTCTTTCTTGAAATTTTTTTCAAAAACTAATCATAATCTATGAACAAATAATATTTTCAAAAATATATGGTCAAACAGGAGCTAATTTATAGTTTCATTTGTAGTTCAACTTTTCGAGCGACATTTTATACATTAGATCGAGTTATTAACCGATTACATATTTTAATTAATAAAATGTCATATAATGAACTCAAAAATGATGCACGGTGTCGATTTATATCTAGTGTATAGTCTATTCCTATACTACAAATGGGGATAACCAGGCAGTCCATGATCAACATGTCTGTCTGACCCAACATTATTTTATGAGTTGTGTTTGCAGCCCAACATATGTAGCCCAACTTTGACAGCCATTCAGTCACCGTTTGATTTCTCCTACTAGACACAAACACTTCTTGAAAAGCTCCATCTGCAAACACCTATTTTGCAAACACTTCTTCTCTTCATACTTTTGCCCTGTCACTCCTCCCCTTTGTTTGTTGGTACTTTCTACCGTCTTGTGTTTCTTGTATTAGTTTATTTTATTCCTTGACAATATGTAGAGAAAGTAAAACATGTTAATAGATTTTGTTCTATAGGTTTTTGACAGAATTCTTCAATCAGGTTTTCTACTAGATTTCTTTCAAATTTTCATCCTTTGGTTGCATTTTGAGCAAGGGCTGCCATATAGTTTTGTAGTCCATAATTTTTAATTGGACAATAATTTTGATTCTTCTTTTTCCTTAGTTACTTGAGTTTCTTTTGCATGCCCTTAGTTAGACTGTCAATTTATGCCTCTATATTTTTACTTTTTCTCGCTGCATCAGTTTGCAATAATTTATGATAGTTAAAAATATTTTATGGACTCATATACTATAAATGGGGATAACTAAGCAGCTAATGGTCAACATGTCTGCCTAGCCAAATAGTATTTTATGGCTTAACTTTGACAACTATGAAGTCACCATTTGATTTCTCCTACCAGATTCAAATACTTCCTGAAAAGCTCCATCGGGAGTACATATGCTGCAAACACTTCTCTCTTCATACTTTTGCTTTGTCATTCCTCCCCTCTGTTCGTTGGTATTTTCTAATAGGTATTCTTTTTCTCATCTTGTGTTTCTTGTATTGATTTATTTCAGTCTTTGATCATCTACATAGAAAGTATAACATGTTAATAGATTTTGTTCTCTAGGTGTTTGATAAAATTCTACAATCAGGTTTACTATTAGATTTCTTTCAAGTTTTCATCCTCTCTTCATATACTATTAATGGGGATAACCATGCAGCTCATGGTCAGCATGTCTATTTGGCCCAACAATAATTTATGGCTTGTGTTTCCAGCCTAACATGTGTAGCCCAACTTTGACACCTATTAAGTCATCGTTTGATTTCTCCGACCAGACTCAAGCACTTTCTGAAAAGCTCCAGCTGCAAACACATATTCTGCAAACACTTCTTCTCTTCATACTTTTGCTCCGTCACTACTCTCCTCTGTTTGTTGATATTTTTTACTAGGTATTCTATTTCTCATCCTATGTTTCTTGTATTGATTTATTTCAGTCCTTAACAATCTGCAGAGAAAGTATAACATTTTAATAGATTTTGTTCTCTAGGTGTTTGACAAAATTCTTCAATCAAGTTTTCTATTAGATTTCTTTCAGGTTTTCATACTTTGGTTGTATTTTGAGTAAGAGTTGTCATGTAGTTTTGTTGTCACTAATTTTCAATTGAATAATGATTCTAATTCTTCTTTTTACTTAGTTTTTTTTATTTCGTCCACATGTCCTTAGTTAGATCGTCGATTTGTGCCTCTGTATTTTCTTTTTCTCGCTGCATCATTTTGCAATAAATTATGATAGTTAAAAATATTTTATGGACTCCTACACTATAAATGGGGATAACCAGGCAACTCATAATCAACACGTCTGCTTGGCCCAACATTATTTTATGGCTTGTATTTGCAGCCCAACATGTGCAGCCCAACGTTGACAGCTATTAAGTCACTATTGATTTCTCCTAACATACACAAACACTTTCTAAAAAGCTCCATCGGGAAACACCTATTATGCAAATACTTCTTCTCTTCGTACTTTTGTGTCACGACCCAAACTGAAGGGCCATGACTAGCACCCGACCACACTTGCCGAGCACC